AGCCAGGCCGACGTCGGTTAATGTATCAATTCAGCCATCCAATGCTGGAAATCATCCACAATTTTCGGGGCCAGAGGTCGCAGGAATAGGTACTTTCCACAAGTTGAGAAGGCAAGATCGAACCAACTCTGTCCAGCTGAAGGAGCCTTCGAACAAACAAGAAACCAAACTATCTCAGTCGTCATAGCTACGATACCAGAAGTTGATTGGCCATTTCATGTTTTGCATTCGCACTTGCAGATGGGGCCAGTTGATGCACGAAAAGGAAGCGAATGTTGGAGAAATTGTTGCCCTGCTGCATAACCAAATGTCGGATTGTGCAATTTGGAAGTCTATTTTGGTATGTGGTATGTGATATGTGATATGTGAGACCAAATCACGAATTTCCCCCAAGCGAATGTTCTTTCGAAGACAAAAGTAAGACGAAATATACTCGTGGTTGAGCTTACTTCCATTTCAAGTGAAAGTGTTGGGTGAAGAGATTCGAAGGTCGGTTCCACCAGAAGACCAGCGACGGATTACTCTTGACCAGCTGTCGATTGACTTTACTGGAACATTCATGCGGATGCTGTTTCCGAGGCAATCTCTTTCGATTCCGGTGAAATGGTGCTAAGATTTCATCAGAGCAAGATAGCATCGTCACAACCAAATTGAAGCAAACGAGCCAAGAAAACTCGCCAGAAAATCCCTAAAAAGTGGTATATATACTTTAAATCTGGCTTCTTTGAAGAGGCATAAAGTTATTTGATTAGTTACGGTCATATGTCAACCTCAAAGCATGTGAGTGTGTCTGTCTCTGTATGTGTACGTTAATGTGAGTTTCACTCGAAATGGAAGTAAGCTCAACAATTATAAAGCAGGAGATTCCTCGAAATCGAACTTTTCTTCGCATATACTCGTTGTGCTCATCTTCTGTGTAAGCCTTTCCGAGGCGGGCTTGTGGGAGTGTGGCCATCTTGGTCTTCTGAGAAAAGCCAAGCATGGATGGCGTCGAAAGCGATACCAACTCCGGAATAGTCGTGATACCAACGATTTAAAAGCATCTATTCCGCCAGATAGTCGCCTAATATGATGACACATCCGTCTCTACTGCAACGACAAGTCCAAAATCAACAACATGCACTGGATCTGGTGCACATTCACGGTCAAGAGATGCTCCGAAAAGGGACTCATAAGCTCTTCAAGGTCACAGACAACGGAGTTGGTATCAACACTTAAAATTCACCTCAACTGGTTGCATCAGCCCCCAGGCGGGACTCGAACCCAGCTCGCGATATTGAAAGTGTGGAACATAAAATTGAAAAATAAGGTCTACTCGGACCACCAGCCCCGTTGTCAACCTAAACTAAATAAGGTGAATATATCTCAAATACATGATCTAGTGGTAATCTCGAAAATCTGCTTATTACCGGAAAAAAGAGGGAAATATGCAACTGCTCACACCATGTCGATTTGACGTCTTCCTCCCAGGGCTGGGGTAGATGAGATGGCGTCTATTGCAAGCATACAAGACCATCAGTTGCCAAGTGTCGACAACTGTCTTTACGGTCGGATGGATGAGCAAATTGCAAGTTGACTGACGGCATCGCAACTCAAAGTTAATTGAAATAACCTTCCTTGAAACAGCCATTCTGGACGACCGGATAGTTTTCACTTGTCAATGGAATAGTGGGAATAAACACTCGAGTAGACGTCTTTAAGAGAAAAACTGGAAATCTGAGCATTCGACTCACGAGAATGGAGCATGTCGGCCATCAAAGTGGCAGATTTCTGAATTTCCATCAAAATGTCGGCATCATACTTTATCGTATTTGGCCACTTACTCCCTTCCTACACTCTTACGCTGTCCTACACGTACTCGGCCCAAATGGAAACCACACCGTGCCACAGTTACGCTTCACTGTCGTCATGCCTACAGCAGATCGACACTTTGCAGAGGCGTCGATTTGCCCTGGGAGAGTGGGCCTCAGAAGGGCACTTTTGTCCGGGCAACAACCGCACAAAAATGTACAGTTCTTCTACGCTCGGATGACGAGTAGGCGGGACCAAATTGCAAAAACGTGATCAGACAGCTTTTACAGTTGATCTTCTAGTCAGAATACTAACCAATTGATAATTTTCACCTTTTTGAACATACCAATTTGCTTATTTTAATAAATTAGAACAGAAAGGATCAGATTAGCGACTCAAACAAGAGCAAGCATTCATTGGGTAAACAAAATTGCACAGACGTGGAGCCTAAAATAGATACATAATTCTTACGCCATGAGTTATGTTTTAATTATATATGAAACAAGTTAGACATATTTACAAGTTATGGCATTATATTAAAATATTAAAAAGAAGGAATTGCAATCAAAATGATGTGGGAAGAAGTTAAACAGGACTCGAGCCTTAGGACAAATATTTTCGGGAAGCCATTTTATTGTGAAATAGCTCGACGTTCCATCCTACGAAAAAGGGGTACCTTCTTAGGCCGGATCGGTTAGGGCGATGTAAGGACCGATAGTGGAATTCTGCCCACGATTGTGTGAGTGGGTTTCGCCGAGTCAGGAGGAGAAACCCATTTGCGAGGAAATATCCAAGCGACCAAGTGAAGCGCAAACGCCTTGTGAGGCCCATTCATACCATTTTTGGGGAGAATTCCACCAGAATCCCTCAAATCACCTGAAGCGACTCGGGCTGGCTTAGTTCAAGGATATCTGAGTGATGTGAAAGATGCTCTAAATGAATACTAATTAGTATGGCTGGTTTAAGACGGATCATTGAAATGTAACCAATAGAATGCGTCACGGCACCTGCAAACATGCTCTCTTGTCCAGATTGGACCGCTGGTTCGACCTCGCTTGGGTTTGAAAGCGCGCTTCCAACAAGTTTTCA